TTTTTTTTTTTTGAGAGACAGACAGCAGGGGAGGAGCAGAGAGAGAAGGGGACAGAGGATCTGAAGTGGGCCCTGCACTGACAGCACAGAGCCCCGTGTGGGGTTTCAACTCACCAACTGTGAAATGATGACCTGAGCCGAAGTCCGTAGCTCAACTGACTGAGCCACCCAGGTGCCCCTCCCCCACTATGCATATTAAGCCGTGTCACTTTGTGTTAATTTTTTGTGGTGGGGGGTGGTGTGGAAGTGGTCATTAAGCCTTTCAGTGTAAACAATATTTATCACCCTCACCTGAGCACATTATACAACTAAGAAGAGTGTCAGTTTTTTCCCCAGTAGATACCATCTGTCTTCCTAGTATTTAAATCTTTTTAAAAAGTATAGACAATAAGTGCCAAGAATATGAAGATGGAAATTTCAATGCAAATATGAAGCTATCTAGAATTCAAGATTAGTATTTTGTCATCTTTTAATTTCTTTATCTGTAAACAATAAGTACTGTGACTTTTTAGGGTGGAGGAGTTTTCTGGTAAACTGGTTATTCTTGTTATGAGCCAAAACAAATTATAGGGTTCCATGCTTTCATTAATGAGGAGGGCTCATTGTTTTTTTCTTTTTAATTTTTTTTTAAGTTTATATATTTATTTTGAGAGAGAGAGACAGCATGAGCAGGGGAGGGGCAGAGACAGAGACAGAGAGAGAGAGAGAATCTCAAGTAGGCTCCTCACTGCCAGCGCAGAGCCTGATTCAGGGCTTGAACCCACGAAACTGTGAGGTCATGACCTGAGCAGAAACCGAGAGTCCAACACTTAACTGACTGAGCCACCCAGGCGCCCTGAGGAGGGCTCATTCTTTTAGTACTATATTAATATAGAAGTAGGGTTGTTTACTTTTGATTGATCATACCTGGGTGGGAGGTTGATAAGGTGTGTTTTAAAGTCCTGAGCTCATATCAAAGTGCTCAGTTACAAAGACGACAAGAATTTAGCAGATAAGTTGATTCTGAAAGACAGAAATAGGTGGACTGTTGTCTTATGTTACCTTTGAGGTTCGGCGTGTCTTTCATTTCCCTTTTCTTATACTTATTCTGTATGAAAGTGCCTGCCATCATTCCCTCAGGTCCTAGCCATGTGTACCACCCAGTCAGTCATCAATGGAAAAGCCAGAACCCTGGGAACAAGGGAGGTAGGGATAGGAAGGATTTATTATCGGTTTGATTAGTTGTGCCAGACTTGCTAAGAAAATTATTCCAGAGGTATATTCCTCTTTGTCTACCATAACATTTTTACTTTAGCATTTTGTGAAATCTTTACTTAACGTGAAAGTTTTAGACAATGTTGGAATAATTATAATTCACAGTGTAGGGGATATCTGCAGCTAAGCAAACTCCTACTGATCTGTGTTTTATTCTATATTCTTGATCATAATACTCTCTGTAGGATTTCTAGTTTTGCATGAAAGTGACTTGTGTGTGTGTGTGTCTGTGTATGATTGAATAGCATATTTTAATAGTTTATGGTAACGTAAAAACATTTAAAAGCTGCAATGTTCACCATGGACAAAAGAGTTAAGAGCTAGGTTTGGGCTCCAGGTGTGTGACAGTGCCTTATTTTGAAAAAGGCATATTCTTCCTGGGGGAACGGTGTAGACAGATCACATATTTATTATGTTAGCCATCCGTCATCCAGTATGAATTTAAAAGAAGAAAGTCACACTGAAGGGAAATTGAAGGTCAGCCTTAGTGGAGTGACGCTGCAACACCCGAACACAATGGGTGCAGTGTGCCGTGGGCACCTGTGACGCTCTGCCACGGGTCCTTCAGCACTACACTGTATTGCACGTGGTAGATGTGATTAGATTGTGATGCTGAAATCAAAGTGTTAGCATCCAGCTTTCTTGGCTAACGTAAGATAGACCTAAGCACAGCGGATAGAAACAACATGATTATATGCTTAGAACATAATTTTCTTTGTTTCAGGTTGCAGGGTTGGGAGGAAACTTACTGCGTAGCACGTACTGTGTTAGTATATGGTTAAAGTACAAGTGGCAGAAAAGCCCCAAGTAGCGTACCATATCAGATAGGCGTTTTTCGTTTTTGCTTTTATTTTGAACCTCTCACAGTTAGGGAGCACTCCAGGGCTGCAGTGGCAGCTCAGCGGTCATTAAAGACTCTGGCTCTTCTTATCTTGCTCTCGGATCCTCAGCTGGTTTCTATCTTGCATGTAAAATGGCAGCTCCAGCTATCACATCAGCTATTACGTTCCAGCTAAGATGAAATAAAGAGAATCATATTGTTGCTAATTGTGTTCTGTTTTCTGTCCTCTCTTTTTTTCTTTTAAAGAGAATCCTCCTGTTCTTGTTTCATGGATGCAGTATCATCCATGGGGTATTATTATTTAAGTTTTATCTGCCTCTTTGTCTGTTTTTCCTGAGTTTCTTTGTTCTTTCTTCTTTTTAAACTTAATTCTTATCTCCTCCACAACTCACTCACTCTCTCCCTTTCTTTTCTGTGTCAGCCTGCAATATTATGGACTTTGCTTTCCTTGGCCAGCTGTTGATATTTAAGAGTGCTAATCAGAAGGTATTTGTGCGTGTAGCAGGGAGTAGGAAAGGTCTTGTAACTTGGAGGGGGAGCGAATGAAAGATCAGTTTTCATGGGGAACTACCAGACACTCTTGTGGAATGTTGTCTTCTGTGGTGACCAGGGCAGTGTAGTCGCTTGGGCCTGCGGAGAGGGCATGTGGTAGATAGACTACCTGTTCCTTCCCTAAGCTTTGAACCAATCCTTCTGCCCTACCGTATACATCCTCCTGGCTGCCCGGTAGCTGGTATGTCTGGTTACCGAGCCTTTCGGTAGTAGTGATGTGCCTGTTGGCTTGTCACTCACTGCCTCTCCCACACCATTCACCCCTTCTGCAGCCTCATGTTTCGGCTTTCTCGGGTCTTCTGAGTCTGCAACATGTCTGTGATCTTTCGATTTTCTCAA